AAAAAAAAAAAAAAGAGGTTAGAGTGGGAGAGAGCCAAAGCATAAGAGACTGTTAAAAACTGAGAACAAACTGAGGGTTGATGGGGGGTGGGAGGGAGGGGAGGGTGGGTGATGGGTATTGAGGAGGGCACCTTTTGGGATGAGCACTGGGTGTTGTATGGAAACCAATTTGTCAATAAATTTCATAAAAAAAAAAAAAAAAGAAAACCCTTATTTCTGGATAATACCAGCTCCTAGTTTTCCTTCTCCTCTTTCTCTCTCTTTTTCTTTCTTTTTCTCCCTTCCTCCCTCCCTTCCTTCATTCCTTTCTTTTTTTTTTACACTATGTTCACCACAAGGTAGCTACCACCTATCACCACACAATGCTACTATAATACCACTAACTTCCCTATGCTGTATCTTTTATTTCTGTTAGTTTCCCCTTTTTTTCTCCAAATATGGGAAGAAAATTGGTTTACATAATTTAGAAAAAATATCATTTTTGTTCTTACTGCCAAAGTGTTTTGGTGAAAGTATTCCTGTAAAAGTGGCTCAAAAATGTTTCTTTTTTATAAAATAACCATTTTTTAAAGTTTATTCATCTTGAGAGAAAGAGAGAGAATACATGAACAGGGTGGGGAGAGAAAGACAGAGAGAGGGAGAGAGAGAATTCCAAGCAGGGTCCATTGTCAGCACAGAGCCTGATGCAGGGCTTGAACTCATGAACCATGAGACCATGACCTCAGTGAAATCAAGAGTTGGACGCTTAACTGACCAAGCCACCCAGGTGCCCCCAAATATTTCTTGAATGATTTTAGGGTTATATGTGTATGTATGTACATATATAGATATATATACTATATGAAATATAGCATATATTAAATATATTTATATTAAGATATGTATACCATGAGACCTTTCAAGGATATGTATTTCTCAAAAAGCTGGATACAACAAAGTCATTAAAAAATAACAAAAAGGGAACAAGGAGAGTTAACTAGACATAATAATCATACTAGAAAAGGAAAGGTAAGGTAAACTGAGGTAACGCCCTAGCTTTGGGCTCTCTGGCTCTGCAGGCAATAGGGCAGTGAATTATACAGCTTTTATTCTCTAGTAAGTAACTCTGTAATGTTTAGTACTGGATGTAAATGGCTTTCTTGTCCAATTTTGAATGCACTGAATTAAACAAAGATACTGTGTATGTCAACAAAGAAGTTCAGTGAACAAAACAGCAATGTCTATAAGAAGTAATTTAGAACAATGTGGAAGTCACCAGACTGGTTTTATCAATGTTAACCTAAGTACGCCATTTGCCCAACACAGCACGCTGTTCCTACTCTTGCCTACAGCCCATACAAATAATGCCAAGCTCTGATTTAATACATCTATTTGCAAGCAACAAGTGCTATAAAAGTAGAAAATACCTGGATTTGAGAGATAAGGGGTTTCTTTTGAAGTATATCCAACAATTCCCACAACTTCATCCCCAACAGGAAGAATTTTATATGGCAAATAAAGTCCTGATATTTGAGATGCTAGTGGCCCCTTGGCTTTAATATTTGCACTCAGAATTGGAAATCTGGCCTCTTTGAGGAGTGGATCAATCAGTCCTTCTACGCCATTATCAAATTCGTGATTTCCCAGTGCCTAGTAGAAAGGGAAAAGAGAACAAGAATTAGGTACTCTGGAATTTCTGCAAAAACAAAAATATACTGTAAAGAATACTACATTAGCCCAGTGGCTCCCAAACCTGATAGGGTTCTAGGAGGCTGATGGCATGACCTCTGTCGTCCTCACAACAGGAGATTTTACTCAGTGACCCTGGCGCTGGGCCCACGGACACACAGATCATCAGGTTCATTTGAGAACTGCTTCCCACATCCCACAGCACCTACTGAAGGTGGCATCAGTCCATGTAAGAGTCACTTGCAACGCTGTCCCTGCTGTCCTCAGATGTGGGGCAAGTTGGAGAGTCTGCCATTTCCTAAGCTCTGTCCAGGCTTTGCAGGTTGGTTTCTCTCATAAACCCACATTTCAACCCCCCCCATGCAATTGTTTCAACATCCCATCTGCTGGGGGAACCATTAAAGTCAACAGGACTTTAGCAAAAGGCGACTGGAAATGTATTGTTGGTAGAGATGCCAGTGACCTCCCCTCCTCTGGTGTCCACATCGTCTCGGTCATTTCTCCTTTATGTTCCCACAACTATGTCTTCCCAAGGGCTGTGTGGTCCTCTAATTCTTTGGGGAAAATGAAGATCCCCCAAGGTAACAGGAGATGGCATTCTCTGCATTTTGCAGGGGGGCACGGGTTTCCTCCTTTGGGCAGCTCTGGGCCGTCATGGGTTTCATTCCCAGCAGCTTCGCGTCTCAGGAAGATCAAGATGGTGAAATGTTCACCGACCTTCAGGGCATTGTTAACCCACTCGGAAAGCAGGACTTGGTGGGGAGCTGGCATGGTTTACAGGCAGCCTCACCTCCCACCTTCTTTGCTCTCTCCCATTCCTCGCTGCTCTGGGAGTGGCTACTGGGTGCAAAACAACCTCTTTGACATCTGGCAGCTTCCCCCAGAGTAATACTGACAAAACACGCATCCCAGCCACCTCCTCTGAAAAACCCTCCGCCCCTTTCTCCCTTGGCCCTAGCATAAGCCCATGTCCCCCAGGCACCTACCTTCCTGTGCTGGCTGCAAGGCTGTTTTGCTAACTTAGTACTTAAACTAGTGAATCTCAAACTCTCCCACGGCACGCCTGATTTTGCTTCACTTTGCCGTTCATCTGGGAATAGACCTGAAAGTGCTGACTGGTGACCTCTCAACCCAGATTAGGGCCCTCCTGCATTCTCTTACAGGCCCCACTCCTTTCCTTCCTAGCACACTGCATATACTCCAATGCCATGTTCAGCATGTCCGCCAGACTGTGTGCTCCCTGAGCCACCATGTCCTGCTGTCCTCACCCTGCTCGGCGCTGCAGCCCTTCTCCACCCACACAGGTGCCCCTCTGAACATCTGTGGCTCAAAGAATTGTGTGTTTATGTCCTCATGCATATGTTTATACAGAGCAATACAATGTCTTCACATTCCCACACACCTGTCTCCCTAATGAAAGTCAGAATTTCTGAATTTGCCTCCTCCCCCACCTCCTCCCCCACCTCGGAGTATCCATCTTTACTTCTTCCTCTTAACTAATGATTTCTCTCTTAAAGGCTGACCTAAGTCTTAAAGGACCTCCCAGCCTTGGGTAATCATCTTTTTATCATCTCTTTGTTACTTATTATTATTTTTAACGTTTATTTTTGAGAGAGAGACAGTGCGAGCAGGGGAGGGGCAGTGAGAGGGACACACAGAATCTGAAGTAGGCTCCAGACTCTGAGCTGTCAGCACAGAGTCGATGCGGGGCCCAAACCCACGAACCACCATGAGATCATGACCTGAGCCAAAGTCAGATGCTTAACCAACCGAGCCACCCAGGTGCCCCCTTTTTATCTTCTCTTTAGAACACCATGATTTCTTTCTGTGGTGAAATCAGTCTCTCTTATGAGATTACAATTAACTATCTTGCTTAATTGTAAAGTCTTAAAAAGTGAATAATTCTATCATTCTTCATGGAGGATTATCCAATGTGTCAGTCACCTTGCAGTTTACCAACAGCAATATATTGGTACCATTTGGCAATGGTTGGAGTTACCTTTTTCATTTATGTGTGGTTGTCTCCTTGCATGGTTGTCAACCTCGCGTGGTTGTCTCCCACTTTAACGGGTGGTGGGTGTCAGAAATAAAGTCTTGAAGACAAGACCAGGTCTCAGAGAACCTTATGGCTCAAAGAGCTCAGGAATGTTGAGTTTTATCACAAGAGCAGCGAAGAGTCCCTGTAGGACCTTAAAGTCAAGATTGACAAGATAAGCTTTGCATTTTAGAAAGATTATTCTGGCAGCACTATGTTGAATGGTTTAGAGAAGGGAATGGCACCAGCGGAAAGCCAGTGTGGGAGCTGATGCAGTGATCCAAGAGGGAACAGTGAGGACTGCATGCAGGGGAATGGATGGAACCAAAACATTGAGGCAAAGGTGGGATACTGGTTGTGGTGGGGTGGGGGGGGCAGTGGTTGGTGAGGAAGAGTGAGTGGGGGGCATTCAGCTGCCCAGGGATTTCTGGCTTTATTGACAGGATGGTGATGGCAGCTTGGGCCAACATGAGGATTTCTGGGAGAAGGGGCTTTGAACACAGTAAATGTCAGTTCTTGTGAGTCCTTGGAGGGAAGTGGCCATGTGGCAGTTGGACATAGAGGTTAGCACTACCACGCAAGGTTAGCACTACCAATCATGAGCTTGACCTGAGCACACTTCTAAATCACAGCTTCCTCTGGAAGGGCAGCGAATGAACAAAGCAAAGGTTGTAATGAAAATGAGTCAGCATTTACCAAGCACTTGACACACGCCAGCATCGTGCAAAGTGATTTTGTTAAGAAAGACTGATTTTGTGCTGTGTGATTGGTATTATTACTATTATCATTTTACAGATGAGGAAAACTGAGATCTAGAGACATAATGAATTGTTCAAGGTCACGCAATTAGTGAGCGGTAGAGCTGGGATCAGAACCACTTATGTTTGACTGCAACCTTCTTAACCACTATGCTTATATATAAAGAGCTTTGCATAAGGCCTGGTATATATAGGGATTACTCAAAATAAAATCCTAAGTACCTGCCATTCTCCATGCTTGGACTCATCTTTGTCCCTTTGTATATAACAGATAAATGATGATTGACAGATCTAAATATAGATAGGTAGCTGAACAGAAACGATAGAATAGAATAGGATAGAATAGAATAGAAATTTCTTTACACCATGGCTTTACTACTTTATTCAATCAATGGCTTTAGCTCCTGAAGTGTGATGATCCTTCTAGAAGCGATACTTCCCGTGGACCCTTCATTGAGCTCCCTCTCTGAGTTAGGTGCACATTCTCTGCTCTACTGCTCACCTCTGTGCAGCGCCTGCACCTGCCTCCTGAACCCCTCTAGCGCCTAGCACAGACTGTGGAGAAGAGCAGGGAGGCACCGCTGAATGAATACATGAATGAGCAGAAGAATCTCTAACAAATTCCTTTCTTCTATACACAGCTAACTTTTCCTACAAAAATGTATTCCTTTGCAGAAAACTGCCTTTGTAAATACTTACTTTCCTATAAACTCATATTTTCATTTCCCCACCATGACTTTCTCCGACCCACTTCTCCTCCGTTGCATTCACTACAAGTTCATCATTCATAAGCTCTTCAGAAGGAATATCATACCACTTGCCTGAGAACACCACGCTCCCTGCAGGCAAACAGCAGGTGCGCAAGAAATGTGTTAAATAAATTGATTTTTTAAAGTTTTAACTCCAGTTAGCTAACACACAATGTTATAGTACAATACAGATGTACCATACAGAAAAAAATTCTTATTCATTTCTATAATTTTTATTAACATGAAAATACCTTAGGAAGAGTCTGCCCAAGAGCACTCAGAGCAATGGAAGACATCCATGTCCCTTTACATCTTACAGAGCATTTGTAACACACACATAAGACAATTCATGCAAATTCATACTGCAGTATTGTTCCACTTTTCTGGGTCCTATCTAAATATTCCCACCCCTCTCCTTTTTTTTTTTTAATTTTTTTTTTCAACGTGTTTTATTTATTTTTGGGACACAGAGAGACAGAGCATGAACGGGGGAGGGGCAGAGAGAGAGGGAGACACAGAATCGGAAACAGGCTCCAAGCTCCGAGCCATCAGCCCAGAGCCATCAGCCCAGAGCCCGACGCGGGGCTCGAACTCACGGACCGTGAGATCGCGACCTGGCTGAAGTCGGACGCTTAACCGACTGCGCCACCCAGGCGCCCCGACCACCCCTCTCCTTAAGTGCGCTTGTCATTTTTTTTGCTGTTCTGCCCACAGCCTCCCCCATGACTTTAATAACAGATCCTGATCTGAGCTAAACTGTTACCGGCTCTTATTGCTATAATCCTCACACCAGGCAAGTGTTTTTTCTGACCCAAATCATATTTTTTTAAGTGTTTTAATGTTTGTTTATTTTTGAGAGGGACAGAGACAGACAGCAGGAGTGGGGGTGGGGGGTGGTACAGAGGATCTGAAGTGGGCTCTGCAATGACAGCAGAGAGCCTGATGTGGGGCTCAAACTCATGAACCATGAGATCATGACCTAAGGCGAAGTCGGATGCTCAACCGACTAAGCCACCCAGGTGCCCCTGACCTAAATCATATTCTTATGCTTTCTCCTTCTCTCTTTTATTTTTGCTTTCCAAACATTACATTTCTAATATTGGGTTCCTTTGTCTACAAGCCCTATTCATTCACTGATTCTAGATCTGACAATCTTGTATATTTTTACCATAAACACTAAATTTCACCAAATGCACTTTTCTGTAACTTAAGAGAGCTGAACCAAACAAAATGACCTCCACCATTGAAATCAGAGAAATTTAATACGTGCACCTGGTTTAGCCCTGGCTCCCCACCCTCACTGCTTTGTTCATGCAGAAGAAGCCTAAAACACTATTTAAAAAGACAAAAAAGAAAAAAAAAAAACTATTACTCTTCTATGAAAAAAACTTTCCTCACTTTCCATCCAGCCCAGCCCAG